GGGGATCCCGGGGGCTGGGGCGCCGGGTCCAGGCCGGCGGGGAGCCCGCGCCCTGGCCGTGGCCCTGCTCTGCCTGCACCTACTGCTGCTGCACAGCCAGATGGCCTGGGCCGAGAGTGAGTGAGCCGCCGGGTGAGGGGGCCAAGGTCGCCCGTCCTTCTTGCGTCCCCCCTTCACCCCACCGTCGACGGTGGACAGCGGGACCAACACCTGGCCGCGGGGTCTCAGTCCCTGGATCCGTGGGTGGGGGGCGGGGAGGGCATGGGAGGTGGGGGAAGGGACGGCCGTCTTCCCCGCCGCCTCTTTCTGCTGGATCTCGAGCCTCCCTGCCGGCCCCTACACCCTCCCCTCTTCATTCTGAGAATGGGAAAGTACTACTTCAGAAGGGGAACTGTCCAGCAGACTGTGCTCCTTTTGGCCTCAGTGTCCCTAGAATGCTGGGCCAGGTGAGAAGGGTGCGACCACTTAATCTCAGTGGCCTGGAGCCAGTGGCACCACTCTGGAAGGCTTCAGTTTCCAAGCGGTGTGCTTGTCAAGTGACATTGGTCTGGGAAAGTGGTTGGGACAGCACTGCCTGCAGGCCTGGACCTCCGCGCGGATAGTGTGCTGATGTGCGCCCCCGCGGCCGCCCCCCTTCCCCTCCCCCTCCTCCAGACCCACAGACTGCTTCCTCAGCGCTGCCATCCCAGGGAAGCCAGGTGTCCCTTTGTCACATGAGCCATGTCACTTCACCCTGGGGCTTGGATTTCCTAGCTGCAGCGGACTTGGGTCCTGTGGATGCTGACATATGATGCCAAGGCTGGCATCCATAACACAGGTGCCCCATGGCTGGGACTGTCTCCACAGAGTGTGGGAAGCCTTCTGTAAGCGGGAAAATCTTTGGTGGCCGAGATGCACCTGAAATGCGGTGGCCGTGGCAGGCTGCCCTGTACTACCAAGGCATTCACATCTGCGGAGCCGTCCTCATCAATACCTCCTGGGTGGCCTCAGCTGCCCACTGCTTCCAAAAGTACGTCTTCCCCACAGCCCACTGCCGGGTGGGACAATGGGGAGGGAGCACAGGTGGGCAGAACAGAAGAGGATGAAGGTTGTCCCAGCCTTTTTTGTCCAGGCATGGCCTGGCATGACCACTGCTGCCCCTGTGTTTAACTCAGAGTCCTTTCTCCCTGGAAGGCCATCCCTGCTCCCCACTGGGCTCCAGTCTCCTGACTCTCTGAGTCACACATCCCAGGACAAGGGCCATTTACTTCATCTCTCCCTCTGGGGACGCCCCGCTCCCCCACCTCCTCACACCTGGGCGATACTTGCCAAGATGCTGTGGTTATCTGGTCTACATGAACTTTCCTCTTAAACAGCCAAATGGAAACTAACTCCAGCCGTGACTATCAGCAAATACAAGAAAATGGACTTTAGTTCCATAGCCAGTGCCTCCAGCCCACTCTGCATCTTCCCTAAACTTTAGGAGTTAAACCCTGTTCCCATTCCAGGTGGACTCTGGTTTCTGCATCTTGCCCAGCTCTAGACAGTCCACAAGATCTCAGTGAGCCTTACTTCCTTCTTGTGCAAAGGGTAGTGGGTGTGTTGTATCTCTGGCCAGGTACTTGGCACAGACTTTAGGCTTTATGTTGGAGCCACAGTCCCAGGGCCCCCGCTTCCCAGGGCTGGGGACATCCATCAGTGCCCAGTGTGGGCAAACATCGTGCCCGCTTCCAACTAGGCTATCTGAAGGCTATTTCCAGCACAACTGCTGGAGCTTTCCCAGGGTCCTGACCACCTGAACCCTAGGGCATGTTTCTCTCTGGAGGTGTCCTGAGGCCCAGCTCTTGTCGTTTCTGTGGAAACAGGAACCTCCTAAGAGGAGCTGTGGTCACCACCATCCCCACAGGCCAGAGTGAGGTATAAAGCACGTGGCCTCTGTCCAGGAAGATGGGATGCAGCCATCAAGAAAGTGGGCTGCCCGTCATGGGCATCCCGAGCTTGCTCTGTGCCCAGAGGGAGCAGGGAGACTATTACCACAAGTCAGGAGGCTGGAGCTGCTGGCATCAGGTGATCTTGAGACCCCCTTCAAGTTCCATTCATTCATTCAGCGCCCACGGGGAATGTGCAGATGCAGGACCCACCTAGAAGCTTCTTCCATCAGGAAAGGGAGACACAAGCCCAACCACTGTGGCGCAGGGTGGGAGGCCAGAATAGGCCAGAGGAGAGACCCTGGCCACTGTAAAGGGGAGCGCTCTGGGTCCCATCGGAGGAGGCGCCTTGTGGGAGGATCCTGGGTAGGGAGACAGCCCAAGCAGGTCAGGTGGGTGGAAAGTTGCTCTTTCTCCAGAAGCAAGCAGCTCAGTTCCACATGCTCCAGTTTCTACTGGCTCCACAAAGGCCTGGGGGTGCCTGTCGGCAGAGAGGGACCAGCCTTTAGAGAAATCAGCGTGTGAGGCCGGGGCGGGAGGGGGACGCATTATTCTGGGCTGGGAGACGGGGTTTTTGAGAATCATTACAGGTCACGGGAACTTTCAAGGGTTCTGGTCAGATCTGGGGGTGAGTCAGGTCTCCGCTCATGAAAATTGCAGGAGTACAGTTTTGATGTTCCCCCAACATTTTTTTCCGACACGAAGTTTCTCTGCTCCTTTGATTCCGGGGCATGCTGGGAAAGCCATCAGAATCTTGCAAAGGACAAATGTCCAGAGGCTCTGGACAGGAATCTACCTGCCACAAGAGAACATTAGGAAGGGAGGCGAGAGAACCTTCTGGAATCATGGTGGGGTCTGATCACTCACCAGCGGGAGTGGGTGGGAGGTAGGCAGCTGGGGTGAGGATGCTGGCCCTGCACTCAGAGGATATGGGTGATGATGTAGCCTCCCCACTACAGGTCCCACAATCCGGCCGACTACCAGGTCCTGCTAGGGTACCATCGTCTAAAAACTCACACTGCGCACGGCCGCACGGCGACGGTGTACCGGCTCTTCGTCCACACGGACTTCAACAAGCACTACTTCATGGGGCGTGACATCACCCTGTTGCAGCTGCACCGGCCCATGAAGATCTCTACCTACATTCAACCCGCCTGCCTCCCAAACAGTGACATGCATCTGCCCTCTCACTGCTGGATAACCGGCTGGGGGATGGTCACTGAGGAAGGTGAGTGGGGGCCAGGGCTGCGAAGGGGGGAAGGGGCGTGCCACCGAAGCCCCCGGGGACATGGTTAGGTACGTCACTGCCACCCCATGGCCGAGCCAGGTCTCCCCGCCTCCATTTTCTGGCCTCTGCTTCTGTCTCCACATAGCAGCCAGATTAGTTGCTTTTAAAACACAAGCAGACCCTTCAGTGGTTCCCCAGGGTGCTTAGAATGGAATCCAAACCCCTGGACCCCGCCATGACGTCTCGTCTTCTCCCCCGCCACTCCCAGCCCACGCTGACCACCCCCCGTCCTCCCACCCAAAGGCCCCTCACGTTGGCTCTCTCCTCTGCCCCGGGGGTCTTTTCCCCCTCATCTTCACACCACACCCTCTGAAGGTTTCCCCAACCCTGTCAGCTAAAACGGGCGGCATCTCCAACAGCAGGAAGACGGGCAGGGAGCTGGCCTCTCTCCCAGGGGCCCCCCCACATCTGAGCCGCTCTCTCCCCTCCCCACACAGTAATGTTGGGCCCACCCTACACGCTTCAGGAGGCAGAAGTCGGCATTTTAGAAAGCAACCTGTGTAAACTGTATTTCCAGGGGCCAGGCCCCGAGGGCTCTGAGTATTCTATTCATGAGGACATGTTCTGCGCCGCGGACTTCCGGACGGGAAAGTCCGTCTGCCGAGTAAGTGACACTCGCTACCTCTCCTCCCCGGGGGCATCTGTCCCGTCTCCTCTGTGTCTTCTCTGGACCCAGCCCTAGCCCCTGACTTCTTCCTAAGCCCTCCCCAGCCTGAGGTGTCGGAGCTGAAGCCCAGAAGCCCCCAAAGGGTGCTCGTCCCGTTCCATCGTTTTCTTTATAGCTTTTAGAAGCTCTGTTGAAACCCTGCACCTATAGAAAGGACAGGCTTTACAAGTGTGCTGTTCGAGGCACTTGTTTAGAAATTGATGGTCACGTAACCAGCATCCGCATGGTCTTCCTCATACCCCCTTCCTGTCACTAAGTCCCCCGGAGAGCCTTGCCCTGGCTTCTCACGCCCTGTGGGTCTGTGTCAGGACCTCCATAAATGCAGTGTCACCGGACACACTCAGCGGCTGTCTGTTGGTCACCAGTACAGGTGAGAGGCCTGTCCATCTGGTGAGGAGTTGATAAATTGTGTGTATCGTATTGCTGTCCAGAACTCCTGCTGATCGCTGGGCGAAGACACAGTAATTTTCCTGATCGGCTCTAGTGCTGGTGCCGTCTGGGTAGTTTCCGCTTGAGACGGTTGCACGTGGCGTTGCTGTGAACACCCTCCTGCATGTCTGTTAGTGTACGTGGGCTCACAGTTTGGTTGGGCGTGACCCTGGGTGTGGAATTACTGCGCTGTAAGACGTGCACATGTCCCCCTCTCCTGGATACAGGAGAGCAGCTTTGCAAGCCTCTTGGACCCCTGTGCGCTCCCACCAGCCGTGGCTGCTCCACATGGCAGCCGCGACTTCACATTTTTAACCATCGCGTGTATTTTTAGTTTGCATTCCTCTGGTGACGAATGAAGGCCAGCACCTTTTCATATGTACATTACCTTTCTTTGTACTGTCGATTCAAGTTGTTTTTGCCTTTATTTCAAGTTGAATTTGCGGGCTGTGATGTACATTATTGGCTGGTGCACTCGAATGTCTTCTGGTTACCGAAGGCAAGTTCGTGCGCCCGATGCACCGTGAGGCCAAAGAAATTGAAACATTGGAGTCTGGAGCAGAGAAAGGTTTATTGCAGGGCCGAGCAAGGAGGACAAGGTGGCCCGTGCCCAAGAAAACTCCGAACTCCCCGAAGGGTTTCAGCAAAGCATATTTAAAGGCCGAGTGAGGGAGGGGCATTGCAGGGCACGTGATCAGCTTGTGCATGATTTTCTGATTAGTTGATGTTGAGGGAACAGGGTGGCCAACACCATTAACCCTGCATCTGCTGAGTGTCCTTCAGTGTTCCCTTCACCTCCACCCCCTGGCTGATGAGGGCTGTAGGCTGGCCTTGCGGCTTCTTGGCCTCAGCCATGCCAAGTACTCCAGCCACCTCAGTCTGCCTCTTCCAGAGTCAGGCTGTGTTCATCGCTCCAGTCTTGGGTCAGAGAAGCTCTCTGAAGACCCTCCCCTGGGCACCTCTGTTCCACATCTGGGGCCTGCAGATGTGTGGAATGTATTGTCTGTGCTGTGTTATATGTCACCTCAGTGTCTCCTGCAGTCATGTTCCTTCAACAGGAGGCTGGAGGGGTGCCGTGTGTCCTTGGTCCCCACTTTGTGGCCTATGGGATGGTAGCACTATGCCCCATGGTGGCAGGTGCCTTCCTGCCTGGAGTCCCACACTCAGTGCCCCCCACATTCTTCTGGGCACCCCTGGGGGTCCCCTGCAGCTCCAGCCACCCCGCCAGCCTGGGCACGGCATCACCTCTTTTCCTCTGCACACACCCAGCAGCTTGGCTTTTTCTAATTCAGAAGCTCAACCAGGAAACTGAGTCAAAACTAGACTCTTAGTCAAGAAGAAAGGCCCTGGGGCGCTGCAGTGGATTTAGGGCTGAGGATTTAGCTAGAGGCCTCCGGGCCGGCCACAGCCATTGTGTCACGCCTTGGGTGGTGCCTTCCCCATGTGGGGCTGGGAGGGCAAAGCCTGCGGTCCCCCTGTGTATTCTTGTAGGTCTGTGACTGCCGCCTGGAGGGCTGTGCAGGGCCCCCTCTGGAGCTCTGTGAAATGGGCTTCAAGGTCCCCCACTTGTGATTTTGACCCGGGAGTCCTACAGCGGGACACTGTGTCTGGACTTTCCAAATTGCCCAGGTGATCCTGGTGAGAAGAGCTGCTCA